GCCGTCAAGAGCGGCTTGTGGAGGAATAGACAGCCTCACCTGAGACCGTCAAACGACCAGCCGGACGCCTCGTTTGGCATTCCCGGCATTGACAACGGCGAAGTCAAAAAGGAGCCTCGGGACTGAAATGCTACGCTTTGCGAGGGTTTTGTGCTCGTTGCGTCAGCGACATGCTCGAAGCCGCACGTGGCCAGTGTGAGTCGCTTTTAGAGGCCGCGCCATCGGTTTGGAACCGCACGTCTCAGATGCACGAGCCACTGGCTGCCCTACTTCTGATAGTGCTTGGGCAACTCACGGAGTTGTTTATCCCTCCCCCCCTTTCCCGTCTGGTGCCCTTTGAAGCTGCTGGCTCGGATGTTTTCCCAGGAAATTGACAGGACGCGGTGTCAGCAGGATGCTCGATTGCTGGAGACGGCCTGCCCACGCGGGAGGGCTGCGGAACGCGGGAGGGCCCAGGCGGCCGGGCAAATTGGAGTTGTTCTATATGTGTTTTGGCGCCGCGCCGCCCGTGCCAGCGCGGTGGGGCTGTCGGCTGAAGCGTGACCCAGTAGGATCGGTGGCGAGCCCTGGGAGCAATGCAAAGAGGGCGGGCATTCTCAGCAGGATCGGAAGGCTTCGGGCCAGCTGAGAAAGCCCCAAATTTTCCCCGACGACACAGAAGACTTCTCAGAAAGCGCGGTGGCTTCTGACCGGCCCCGCCGCCTTCTGAGAAGGCCAACCCCGCTCACTTCCCTCCTGGGCTCGCCGCCGACAGGAGGGGCGAGGCCTCGTCATACATTGAGCCTCACAGACGTGGAAGGGCATGCTTGCAGCCGCTTCTTGATGTTGATTTCCCATCGGCCACATCCTCCAGTTTCTTATCGAAAGGGGCAGCCCGCACGTGGACGCGGGCGCCACCCAGTGCAGGTGCTATATTTGGAGGTGATTCTCGCCTCGCGAAGTCGGCACGAAAGGCGTTTCGCGAAGGCGGCGTGTCCAGCAGTGGTGGGCGTTGCTTGTCGGCGGGGTTCCATGAATGTCCCTGCTCCCCCTCCTCAGATCCTTCTAGTTTTCCCCTCGCTTATCCTGCAGGGCATGCGTCTGTCGGAGGGGCGACCGTTCTTACCGTACTCTACGCCCAGTGATTGCTGACAGGTGCGCACAGGGAATTTGCATTCCAGCAATGGACACCATGAACCCGGTTGAAGTAATGGGTTTCTCCCTCGCGCGCGATCTGTGTTGTCTTGTATAGTGCTCTATAGCTTAGCGTCAGCTCTGCACCCCCCGCAACCTGATGTTTCTGGCATTTGACCGAAGAACCAGCAGGAAAGTCGCACGGCGCGTAAACAGGTTCGCGAACGTTGGGTCATTCATTCGAGATTGTCTTACAGGGGGGCAGAAAGTTTGAGATGGCCAGCATGTCTGCGTTAGCAGCGTTTCGCCAGGAGTTCTGGCATTGAGCGCAAATCTCCGCCATTAATTTGTCTTAAACGTACCCTGTTCACTCTCAACCAAGAGCGACCTGGGAATCGGCACAAGCGCACTATTTGAAGAACCATGCGAGCCACAACGATGAAATAATCCATCCTTGTGTACAATCGCACGTCGAGGCGCCACCCAGAAGCATCAGTGGAGGAGGATATGTACAATCTCGAGTAACCAGTCTTTCTACATTTTGATTACATGGAGAAGCCCGTCACCAAGAACAAGTATCCGAACAGTGTTGCGATGCCAATGTGTAGCACTCTCTGCATGGGCCCAGAACAACCGAGACTTTGCGCTCACCTCCCAGGCTTTGTCGTTGGCGGCCGCGGTGCAGAAGCGGGACATTATAATTCAGGAGGCCGCATGCATCGCATCCATTTTCGGATTGGTGTTCCACCCTCATTGGTTGCTCCAGCAGCATCTTCTGCTGTTTCTCCATTGTCTCTGTTTATCATTGTGCTGTACGCGTTCATCATGATGTACAGTCAATACGCTGAAGTAAGGAGCACGTTGGATTCGGGAGGCGCTCTCGTTTTCAGGCAGTTCCTCAGATATGGGTCGGGGAACGGATTCGTGACCAAAGCTGGCAGTGACCAGAAAAGCTCGTTCTTATTAATCGCGCCTTATTGTAGCCCGATGGCTGTATGCTATGCCGAGCTGGTTCAAAGATCCTAGCTCGTCATAATGATTTATGGCACTTCGCGATCAGCGCCCGCTTTGTTCTGTGGTAATCGCCGTCCTTTAGGGCCCCGAGATTGGTCCAACAGACCCGGAGAGGAACCCACGAAGGCTCCAAGTTTTTGTTGAGCCGTTCACGTGGCAATGTAAGGCAGGATTGGAAACCGCTCGGGGGTGATTTGGGTTTGGCCTTGTGCCCTGGCTTTCAAAGAGCGCCTGGAGGCCTGTAACGCCATCAAGCCAATGGCAATGCACAAGTTGACATATCAATATAGCGAGTGCAGTGAGGGGCTCCTTTCTGTTTCATGAGGATTTGGCCCTAAAAGGTGGCCTTCTCTTTGCAGCGCCAGGCACCTTTACTTGCTTGGCGTCCGCACTGCGGTGCAATGATGTGCAACAGCTGCTGCTCTTTGTTAGCCTAAGTCGGGCCAGAATCATGGGGGGCAACCTTTTGCCATAGTGGAGAGGCCATGTGGCATCCGTGAACATTGGGTCATCTTGGGGCCTCGTCGGGGCCCCGTGCAGGTGATTTGCCAGGCCAACACCGACCCAAAAATGGAGCTGCAACTGATTCTGACATCAATTTCACAGACCTCGTCTTGGAAGGCATCCTGAAGCAGCCTTGGGCACGAAAAGAAGGCATGTGCGCACCCTTCTGGGGCTGTCCGACGGAATGCGCGAAGCATGTTCGGGTGTCTAAGAGCGCTAGGGCCTTGGCCCAAGTTGTGGAGCAGAATGTTGATGCGCTTCGCAGAAGTTGCTGCAATAGAGAGTTTGATGCATGGTTCAAGTTGATGGAAGTTCTCCCAACCCGCAATATTCCGCGTATTCCTGCCTGGCTGGAGGACATGCGAAGCGAAAGTATGATGTTGTGCACAGCGTGAGCCCCCACATCCAGTTTCCATTGCGTAATCCGTCCCTCGCGCTTACCCAGAACCTCTGTTGATGTTCATCCCTTCCAGGTCAAGAATAACCTCATCAAGCCGATTAGGGAGTTGGCGCTCACGCAGTGGAGATTGCCCAACCACAGAAGAATAGCCCAGGTGTGCAGATAGATAGAGATCAGTGCGGGAGTGAATTCGGGAGGAACCCACAGCGATATTCGATTCCAGCGCACATTGCGAAAGAGCCATGCGCTTCGACCAGTATTGTGTCGTCCTCGCTTCGCGCTGCCAATACCGAGGTACGGTGTCCTCAGGCGGCCAACACCCAGAGCAGTCCTCGCGATATCGCATGTCTTGCACCGAGACCGTTGGCGGCGCACGGGGCGAGTGACATGTATATGCTACGTAGCATGTCGGTCAGACGATGGTGATGTTCGTACAAATTTCATGCTCAGACTAGCTACTTCGAGCCCCCCTCCTAGGCAGGATGACGAGACAGCAAGATGGTGGAGCAAACGCAGTGGTGGAAGTCATGCTAGCCAGGCGCTCGAAGGTGCAGGCTCGAGGGCAGAGGGCGATCGCTCCACCAGGTTCTGATGGGGGAGCCGACGGAGGACTTCAAAACGAGAGCGAACGAGCGGCTACTCAAGGAGAAGCAGGACAAATTGAACATTGAGTTCCAGTCGAAGAGGAAGAGGAAGGCCGAGCACCCGCCAACCACCGGAGAGGCCGCCGCTGGGGTCTCAACCCGGGGGAGGGAGGGGGGAAGAGGACGGGGCAGGACAAGAAGGGAGGCGGAAGCAGGAGGAAAGAGGAGCACGGGGAGGAGGAGGAGGAGGAGGAGGAGGAGGAGGAGGAGGAGGAGGAGGAGGAGGAAGAGGAGGAGGAGGAGGAGGAGGGAGGAGGAGAAGGGAGGAGGAGGGAGGAGGAGGAGGAGGAGGAGGAGGACGATTAGAGGACGATTAACAACCAGACCACAAATCTCACCGATGAGCAGCTGGCGGTGGGACAGAGAGCTACCCCTGTCGGCGCTCTGTACGCCTTCTCTGTCTGGGAGCGCTGGGGGTACCGTCAGGCCACACAGCCTTGCCCTTCGATGAGGGGACCTCCCAACGCTGAATTTTATTCAAGGCCTCTTTCCCTGCTGGGGTGGGGTGCCCTTTACATTGAACCACGATCCCCGCCCCCAGCCTTCCGCCCGAGGGGGTCTTGGAACCGAGGCACCCACACCTCCAAGAGAAAATCTGGCCGTACAGGATTGCTGCATTGTGAGACTCATGGACCTCCCTATCCCCGATTCTGAACCGAAGGGGGAGGCGGACGGGCCTACCTTGAGACTCTATTCGATGGTACTGGGGTCCGAGACAACTGCCATTACGGAGCCAGTCCAAAATCGAAAATTGTCCTGGGCCACTCTGGCAGTGGCAACACACCCAGGAGGGGCCAGCCTTGGAAAGCTGGTGCCCCGAAGATTTTTCGAGCGCCTACCTTACGCGCCAGGCTGCGGGCGCAAGGTTGACCATACGCGGGCGGCTTTTGCGCTCATACTCAGCATTAGCAGCAGCGGCATTAACAATAGCTAGCCTCCTCTGGACTAACCATGCTTTGAATTCCGCACGCGCAAAATATCTGACCTCTGGGTCAATGTCTTCTGCGACACGTTGTACTCCTATCTGGGCGAATGTATCTGCAAGGTCGTTGCCTCGCGAAACACATGGGGTTTGGACCAGGGAGGCTAGCGAAACTTGATCCAGGTGCGAATTACACTTGCTGAGCATCACCCGTCGACCTTACGCTTTTGAAAATACTCGACTCCACCAGCCTCTGAGTTCTCCCGAAGTTCCTGAGAAACCATGCCATCCGTCGTACACGATCTAACTGTCAGTGTAGAGCCATACAAGCCCCTTGGTAAGTTTTCAGGCCCACCAGAGGGCCGCAAGCTCGGCACACGGGACCGTCTGGGCTCCTTCTATTCCCCCGAATGCTCATGGCCGAGGGGATTCAGGATCATCATTTTCCACGCTGTCCGCGGACTGGGCACGGTAGACACCCCAGCCCGCACGCGCAATGCGCGCGTCGCTGGTCGAGGCCGAGCCGTCCAGGAAAGCCAGCTTGCATTCGACGCGGTTCTCGAAGTGCATCATGCCCTCGAGTGAGACAGTCGGCCCGTCCCAGTCGATGTAGAACGGCAAGCAAGGTGTGTCCCACGAAGGAGGGGGCGGTACGGTGTTCCATGTGGATGGTAGCAACCCTCTTAGCCACAGCTCCAAGTTGGTCCCGTTGGTGATGTCCCGAACAGCTTCCTCACACAGCTTGGCGCTCTGACGGATCCAAGGGTGATCTTGTGCGCACGCGTGAGGGCAACTCCATACTCTGTGGGCCATCGTCTCTTTGTGACCCGTCGTGCATCGGGTACATACTCCATTGCATTCGTAGCCTTCAGCGCGGCAACGTTCTTCAGACCAAATAGTATTACACAGCACTGCTTCGAGCGCTCCAGCTTCCCGATGGGAATCCGTTCGTCGCATTATCTGCAGCGTTTTCGGAGCCGTCATGAGATCTGGTGTAGACCCCCACTGACCTCCATGTCGATCTCTGGCTGCTTGATGCCACAACTCCTTGATGACGTCGGCAGTGATGTGGGCCATGAGCTGGGTGGTGTCGTCTGACTGCTGGTAGGCGTCGCCTGCTGCAGGTAGCTGTTCTTGTCGAACTGGTGGCTGTGGAGTAGCGGTCCCGCTGTAAGCATTCAGCGATTTGACAGAATGCCCAGATCCGACGACGGCCCCGTGTCCACGAATATATATATATATATTGTAGAGACACCACCATTCGATAATTGTATGAACCCGGTGCCCTCTTCCATGTCTTCGAAAGGGTCGTGGTCACCGCCCATGTTGGTCGCAATCTGTTGTGGCTGGCGATCTGCAGCCTGGCGATCTGGTACTTGTTGAAGTGCGGCTGCTTCAGGCTGAGCCACCATTACAAGCTGAGCAATGAGGTGGTCATGCACGTCCGCGGCCTGGTTATTGTCGTTGCCTGGTTGACGTGGAGGTGGAGGCCGTTGTACGTCGGGCGCATTCTTACCCATGAGCCTCCTGAACACAGCCCTGATTTCTGTCAACATTCTCCAGTGTCTGCGTTCGAGACGCTGTCTCTGTGGGGCTTCAGATGCTGCCAATCCGTCGATAAAAGCATCGCGGCGCCTTTCGGTCTGTCTCCAAGCGCTGCCACAAAGCTCCTGGATGATGGAGGCGAGGGATCTGTTCGGAAACCACGCGTGCAGTAATCTGCGCAGTGGTTCATTGTTGCCTCCATGCAACATCGTTGAGAGAAAACCCTCGCACCACTCCTTCCAGTTGCTATCATCTCTGGTATAGCTGAGGTGGTTGTCGAACCATGCCGCTGCCCATTCTCGTAAGTCTGCTCTCATGTCCGCATAGTCCTGGGCCGCCTGCATTCTCTGTTCGTCTGGATGCGATGGCGGTAGTCCCATGGCTGAGGGTTTTACCTGACCGCGTCTAGCAGGCATGCAACGCATGAGCCTGGGGTGCTGTCCAGAGCAGCCCCAGGACTTTCGGACCTTTTTCGAATACCAATGAGTTCGGCCTGCCCTGACACGTCTGTCTGCTGCTCGCTGGAGTTGATGCTCGACGCCGGTGCAGGACACCCATCTGGCACAGGACTTCCTGCTGGCACAGGACATCCAACTTGACCAGGACCCCCAGCTGGCACAGGACACCCAGCTGGTACAGGACACCCAGCTGGTACAGGACACCCAGCTTGTACAGGACACCCGCCTCGTACTTTCCTCCACTCCGTCTCGTTGGCCTTCTGGTCGCTGGATGCGGCTGTCACACGAGGTTCACTGGATGTATCCGCCATTCGCCAAATATTCTGCTTTGAGTCAGTCCAGGTGTCTGGCCCGCTGAGCTGCCATCCCAGTTCCGACAGGCCTTGGATAAGTGTTGCCATTGGTCCAGTTACCACATTCCACCGTCCACGGGGTCGTGCTTTCTGCAGGCGATGAAGAGCCGCATGCCATCCAGCTCGAAGCTTGTCATGGTACTCTGGGACTCTTTTCCAAAGCTTGATCCACCCAGCCACTTGGCGCGTCGGGGCCCTGTTTTCTAAGTAGTGGAGTAGCATGACCATAGAGGTACTTCGGCCTCCTGTAGCGTAGCCCAGCACGTCGACTGCTTCAGCGCGCGCGCGTCGTACTGCACTCGGCGACTGGCCGAGGGCTGGCAGATCATAAGATGACTTGGCCCTGATGTTGACCATGTTCAGAGTTGCCAACTTTCCTCGACGTTTGCCAGTCCCTTTGAAAACACGGGCTCGTCGTACTCGCATTTTAGCTGTTTTGCGTCTTGCTTGTGCAGTGGTTGTTCTCCTTCGCCGTCCTCGAGCCACGTCGATGCCAAGGTCGCGCACGTAGTCTGCATTTCGTATTGTAGCACCTAGCTGAAGAGCTGCCCTTGATGTTGTTTTCTCCCTGCCCGGATGCGATGCCAAGACTGCCGACCTATCTTACATCTCGAGTTTGTTTTCGATGCATCCCTTGATGAGCTCGACGGCGACCGTAGTGAGCTCATGCCTCACTTGCGTGTACGAGCCGTCTGACCTCGCGGCGACGTCGTCCACATACGTTCGTGGAAGAGGGCGTGGAATTCGATTGCGTGCACTGTCCAAAACCTCATACAAGAAAGCCCTCGCTCCATTGTTCGCATTGTTGCAGCCTGGGACTATGCTGTTCCCAGGTATGATAGGCGTCGCAAAAGCGCCTGCCGCGCGTACAGCACGCGGTGCGAGGTAGATCAGGCAATTGAGGTAAAGTTCCATTGCTGGGAATTCTAACTTCAAGGCTCGATCTATCAGAAGCGGGATGCTCATCGAGTCGTGGAACGTTTTGATGTCCAAGCATATGGATCCCCATGCTGGGGCGCCGCCCCACGCACTGCTTTCGTCCATGGCCACACCGAACAGAGCTGCCTGGAGCGCCGAGGACTTGGCCACCGCCGCATCCCAGAAAGCCGCCTTCGCACTGCTCCATGATGCCACGCCTGGCCGTCGCACACGCCCCCGCGGTCGAGCCGGGAGCGGCCTCAGGCCGACGGGCCTTTCGCCGCCAGCTATCAAGTTGGAGCCTCTGCGCAGTGCCTCACACCAAATGTGTAACCACCGATGGGGCCATGCTGAGGTCTGTTCGCATGACGTGAGTAGATCCGCAAGCTCTGGCATAGCCTGGGGAGCCAAAGCCTTTCGATGCTGCACCTTCCACATGTCGGAGCCCTGGCCTGAAGAGTTTGGCGTTGCTCGTAGTGCTCCCTCCAGCTGGTCCAACGCAATAGGGTCACGTAGTGGTAGGTCCTCTTGGGCCAAGGCGCGGCGTCTGGTCATCTGCTGGATGCTTTCGTCATGTGCATCATGTTTGGTCCATCTTGCTTTCCATTGGCGTGCCCTGGTTTCGCAGGCATGCTGCAAGTTGGCGATGGCCCCTTTGCCATCAGGGTCAATGCGAAGTTCAGGAAGGGGTAGGGCTCCTGGCCTTTTCAAGTGTGCGTGAGCGTCTTTCATGTTTCCATCCATGGCCTTCTTTGCCCATCGCTGGGTACTGATGTTTGCTTTGTGCCATGCCCTCCTGCCATGTCGTTCAGCACGCTGCGTCACTTGTTGTAGTGCCTCAGGCCAGAGAGCATGCGTGGTATCCAGTTCCGTCTTGCGGATGAAACCAAGAGCCCAAGCATCTTCTTTCTCATCTTGCCGCATTAGGGCGGTGTTGGCGGCAGGGAGCGGCGGATACCCCATCGCTTCAAATTGGCCAATCTGCCGGCGAATATGCTCACGAAGTTGTTGCCGCCTGAGTATCTTAGATGAAACTCCCAAGTGTCGTAGTAGAGATCCCAATTCGATCCACCGACCATGCCTGGCTTGCTCAGGCTCTTGAGAATGCTGCTCACGTCGGTTGACTGCTGGTAAGAGACGATACTTCACAGGTCGTCCTCGGGCTGTTTTGGCCTGGTCCTCTTTGCCACAGAGGATGGCCAGTGAGCGGTCTTCAGTTTGAGCCCACTTCGTGCACTGCTGCCCCATCTGTGTGCTGCCAACCTCTGTCAACTGGAATGCCAAACTGCTCTGGGTGTAAGTCTCAGGCTCAAACTGTCCACAATGCTCTGCCTGCAGTCGTAAACTCTGCCATGTTTCGTTCGATATCATGGCCAGTATCTCCCTGATGTAGGTCGGCTCCAGCAACTTGTCTAAGTCCTCGCGTTCCTCGGTCATAGTCTGCATATCTTCTGAAATTCCGCCGTCTCTTTCGAGGCCGGCTATGTCGGGCATGTTCTCGGTGAGCTTTGCATGTTGTTCTCGATCTCGCTGCTGTCGCTTGATCCCTGTTCCACATGGACCGTGATATACGGAACTTTGTGCGGCTCTGCCCTCATTGAGGAAAGAATCCGGATGGTGGCTGGTTTTCTGGCGAGACGGATGTGAAGTCCCACGCGAGGTCTCCAGGGTACTTTCGTGACTGCCGAAATACCTCCCAAGAAGGGCCTGAAGATCTGCGGACAGATAACGCAGTCCAACATGCGGCCTTTGCCAGTCGAGCATGTGGCTTCGATGCCCAGGCAAACTGGTATCACTTTGAGCTTCTTGGCCCAAAGAGACTGCATGAATTCTTCTGGAGTGACGTCCCCATCGCCTACGGCCATCCAAGGTGTTGAAATGCTTGCTACCAGTTGCGTGAGCTGTACAAATTACTCGCGCTGGGCCCCGCCATGCCAGGCCCACTGTCCAAGTATATGACGAACAGCGTGATTCGAATACCACCTTTGAGATCCCAATGCATCACCGCGATGCCGTTCAGCTCCTTATGAAAGGTGCTGCTCTCCTCGACCGTGGGCAAATGCACTGCTGATTGAAGGTGCGAGCGTCGCAGCCAACATACTCCCCCGTGAGTGCCGTCTGCTGAACGCCCCGTCTTTTTTGCTGCCGTCCAGGTACGCTGTGAATGCCATCCGTGCGCTTGAAGCCGCTGGGCCTCGTCGGCTGCTTTGCTCTTCTGGAGGTGGTGCTCGACAAGGCCCACCGCATCATACTTTCACCCAAGATGAACTGACGAGCCAACGTGTTGCACTGCGAAATGGTCGCCACGAATACATGTGAGCACTGCTGGTCGTCGTCCGCCTGGGTGTCTGGAACTTCACAGATTGGGTCTTGGAAAACGGCCCTGCGCTTGTCAGGAACATTGTCAGGAGCATGGCTTCCCTTCAACCTTGGCTGCCACCACCGCCTTCGTCCTCCCGCGAATACGGGCAGCGGCCTCCAGCTATTTGTCCACGCCCCCTTCCTTGGTGAAGTCGCACGCTTGCTCTGCGTTGGGCTCTGGAGGCTTTGCGGTTCCAGACTGGGCTTGTGATCCTCCAACAGTTGCTTGTTCTTCATTGCCGCGTCTGCGCTTGCACTCCTGGGCCGTGTCTGCGAACTTGCGGAGGTTCTCTGCCGCCTCCTTGCGCGCCTGGGTAGCTCCTTTCGCCGCTTCCAGGGTCTGCTGTGCTTGCATCGCGGCTGATTTTTGCTGCCTGATACTCTTTCTTTTCCTGCTCTCCCAAGAAAGCCAATTCTTCTGGAGTGAGCTCTGGAGTAGGTGCGTCATCAGGAACGGCTGCATGCGCTTGCGGTTGTCCTCAGTGGGCGTTCTCTCGACACAAATCCACCTTTGCTTGAGCCTCTTTCTCGGACATCGTGTTGTCTGCCAGCTTTTCCCGGATGTCTTTCTGTTCTTCAGCGTTGCGTTGGAGCCATTTTTCTGTAATTTCTCATTTGTTGCCGTGACCATGCGGAGTTCTTGCGCCGCCGCCTCCAGTTCCTCGAAGGGCCTGGGTTCAGGAGGAGGCTTCGGTTCTGGAACCCGTAGGTGAGGGCATGCCTGCTCCAACAACTCCATCTGCTCTTTGTCGTTGCCCTCTTCGGCTGCCTTGCATCGGTCGGCGAGGAGTGCCACCAAGGCCTGGGCCTTTGGGTCAGGCGGTGCAGGATGTGCCTTGATGTCGGCCCATGCTGTTCCACAGTTTGCACACTTGCCTTTATCGGTAATGCGATCGCAATAGATCCAACTGCTACCCAAAGTAGTGCACGTACTGCATACAAGATGTTGCTGCCTTTTCCCACCCTGGAACTCTTTCTTCGAGCGTGATTGCGATCGTACTCTGCTGGCTGCTCTGCCTCCTTCCTTACGGGGTGGGCGCTGGGCTCCCATGCTGCTGTAGTAGCCGTCGTCGTTCTGCTGCGACTTCTGCCACGCCACGATGGCGTGCCCCTCAAGCCGCGAGCGCGCCTCGCCGCCTGCAGCAAGGCAGGCGCGGGCGCGCAGTGCGCGCGCAACAGTGGGCCCGTCGGTGTGCTCCCCTGCAAACCTCTCGGGCCCAAATGCTTGAGGGGAGGAGGAGGAGGAGGAGGAGGAGGAGGAGGAGGAGGAGGAGGAGGAGGGAGGAGGAGGAGGAGGAGGAGGAGGAGGAGGAGGAGGAGGAGGAGGAGGAGGAGAAGGGACGGAGGAGAAGAAGAAGGAGGAGGAAGATGAGGAGGAGGAGGAGGAGGGGGAGGAGGAGGAGGAGGAGGAGGAGGAAGGGGAGGAGGAGGAGGAGGAGGAGGAGGAGGAGCAGGAGCAGGAAGGGGAAGGAGACGCAGACTTGGAGTCGTCCCTTCTTCGTGGCGTGGCCCCTTCGGCCTCTGGCCCCTTCTTCGTGGCGTGGCCCCTTCTTCGTCCATCCCCATCCCCAGGAGCACAAGGCTCGTCTGCACGTGAGAGAGGCCCTCCGCCGGAGTGGCCTTTGGTGCGCGGCCTTCGGTGGGGGGGGGGGGGGGGCACACCCCGCCTCGCGGGCCGCCACTGTCGCACCGCACGCGGCGATCGGCCAGCCGCGCACCCATGGCCGCTCGTACTCAGGCCGCTCCTGCATGCCCCCGCGAGGCAGGGAGGCAAGGAGCGGAGGCAGTGGCCGAGGAGGTCAGCCTGGCGATCGCCACGGCAGCTTTGCTCTCCCTCCTTGTCTTGGCGGCGCCCTGCCCGTCAAGATGTCGCCGTGCGTCCTCGCGTCCCCGCGCTGGACTGCCCCGCACGGAAGCCAAACAGAACTCGTGGAGAGAGGCGGAAAGAAAGGGCTGCACGTTCAACACGGCTCCAGAACTTTAAAAAGGTGAACGGCGTTTGAACGTGCCGCTTGGACGCCTCTGCCGACTGCTCGCACTCAGCCCAGAGCTTGCGCTAACACGCGACAGGCCCTGCCGTGCTCGCCCGTGCCACCGGCGCCCAGCTGGAAGGCGCCAGTGGAATTGTAGATGCGTGCTTGGTGGCAGAGTAGAGTGAAAGGAATGGGGAATTCGCTAGAATTCGTTGATTCTCACCACGCTGTGGTCACGAACTCGGCTTCAAGAACGACCACCAGGCGCTGGGCCACGGAGGCGGGCCTCTTTCTCCTAACGACGCCCTCGTCGCGGGCGACCGTAGGTGGTGGTGGTGGTGGTGGTGGTGGTGGTGGTGGTGGTGGTGGTGGTGGTGGTGGTGGTGGTGGTGGTGGTGGTGGTGGTGGTGGTGGTGGTGGTGGTGGTGGTGGTGGGGTGGTGGTGGTGGTGGTGGTGGTGGTGGTGGTGGTGGTGGTGGTGGTGGTGGTGGTGGTGGTGGTGGTGGTGGTGGTGGTGGTGGTGGTGGTGGTTTTGCATGGGTGGTCCGTCCAGCCGCAGCAGGGAGAGAGGCCCCCGCTCGCCCTACGGCGACACGGGCCAAGGCCCACCAACACGCGGCCCCCCCACCCAGAGAGCAAGGGCCGCGGCGAGGAGGGCTGGCAAGCAGAAGGTCCCCCTCCCCCTCCCGCCACTCACAGCGCCCACAGCATGAGGACCTTGGCCTCCGCCGCCCCCAGGGGGGGAGGCGAGCGGGGGGACGGGAGGGGGGGAGGGGGAGCGAAAGAGCAGAGAGCCTTGCGTTGAGCCCCAGTGCTGGTTCCTACCGAGCGCGCGGGCTTCTGATCACGATCACTGCGGCCGCTCTGCCCATCTGGCCGCCAGTTCGCGCAGCCGGCTTGGCTGGATCCTGCATGTCCAGTCCTCGATTCGCGCGGGAGCCACAGTATGGGAGGGCCGCGGGCGGATCGCTTGGTCAGGAGAGGGAGGAGGAGGAGGAGGAGGAGCAATTGGATGGCTTCGTCGGACGGTTTTCTAGCCATCCATGGGCCAGTGGGCCAGGAGGAGCAGCAGCAGGAGGCCACAGTCCAAGGGCCGCGGACAAATCGCGTGATCGGGAGGAGGATGAGCAGCAGCAGCAGCAGTAGCAGTAGCCGGAGGAGGGGACCAGGAGGTGGGGGGAAGAGGAAGCGTCGATCGTCGGCGGTGCGGTCGGTCGGACGCCGAGAGAATTCGCTGGCAGCGGCTGGCGGGCAGCAAGGCAGCCCACGGAGCAGAGAAGATGGAGGGGAGGGTAACAGGACAGACGAGAGCAAGGGCCAGGGGAGCGGAGAGGGGAGGGGGGAAGGGAGGGCAGGGGAGGGAGGGAGGCAGGGAGCACGGGGCGGGGGAGGGGGCGGGGAGGGAACGCCGAGGCCAAAGAGGAGAACGGACGCCCCACAGATGCGGACGAGGACGGCGAGCAGCCGCCACAGGCGGGCGCCCCCGCCCCCCCACCCTTCCCCCTTGGGCGCGCCGCGCCCGCTCCAAGAGGCTTCCCTGGGCCTCCCGCCGACCGAGGGGGACTTGGCCCCAGAGCGCACGGAACCAGCGACCCAGGTGATGCCACCACTGGCTGGCACATCATTTGCAGCTCGTCCCCCCGAAGTGGCTCACTTCAGTCACCGTGCCGGCAGGCACGCTGCCTCCCACTGGGGCCAAACGCCAGGCCACAGGGGCTCCGAGCTTTGTCTTTGGCTCGATGTGGTTAGGACGTGCTCCCCAAACGGTGTTTGCATTCAGGGGCTCTTGCTTCTGGGATACAGAACTGGGCCGCGGTGTTGGTCTGGCGACTATGCTGCCGCCGTCGGCGGCCCGTCGCCACCTCGTCGCCGCCCGTCGTCTGGGCCGCGGTGTTGGTCTGGCGGTCATGTTGACGCTGTCGCCGCCACGTCGTCGCCTCGTCGCCGCCCGTCGTCCTGGCCTAGGTGTCGTTCTGGCGGCTATGTTGCCGACGCGTCGCCGCCGCCGCCGCTCGTCGCCACCGTTCGATTGCACTACACAGAGTGTTTGGCTTTGGTTTGCATTGGCTTGCGTTGCCTTTCGTTGGTTCGCATTGCTTTACACTGCTTTGTATTGGTGTGCATTGTTTTGATGCGCGTTGACTTGCATTGTGTCGTGTGGCTTTGCAAGTTTCACATCACAGCTTGCACCAACTAGATTTTCCTTTCTAAAAGAAGAATAGACTCTACCCCCGCCCGGAGTTAACCGTACGCCTTTTCGTATTTCAATTTACATATGATTCTGCAAACTCGTCCATCCCAAACATGAATTCATACTATCCCAGCCAGGCCGGTATCGACCCCCCCACCCATCCTCTGCAAAAAATACTATGCGCGCACACTCGCTTATCAAAAATCATAAGTGTTCAAGCATCCCTTGCAAAAAATGGGACGAAGTGCACACGCGCGCGTCGTCGCGCGCGCATGCCGAAATCCTTCAAAAACTTTCGGTTTCGGAAGGAATTCAAAATCGAGTTTCCAAAAAACATATAAAAACACAGGGTTTCGTAACACTGATGTTCTAAGCAAGCTTACACGCGCGCTCTTGCGAAATCTTAAGAAAACCATTGGTCCTTCAAGATGTTCAAAAAATACTACCAAACGGGCTTCGCGCGCGCATGTCGAAATCGTTCGATCGCCCTTGCGCGCGTGCCGTCGCAAGAATCCTTGTTGCAAAAAGAAGGAACGAAGTGCGAGCGCGCTCGTCGTCGAGCGCGCATGCCGAAATCCTTCAAAAACGCTCGCTTTCGGAAGGATTTCAAAATCGAGTGCCCAAAAAACATTCAAGAACACAAGGTTTCTCGCGACACGGATTTTCAACAAAAGTGTGCGCGCGCTCTTGCGTCGTCGTCGTCGCCGTCCTCCCTTCTCCCTCGTCGTCGTCGCCGTCGTCGTTGTCTTTCCTCGTCGTCGTCGGTGTCGTCGTCGTCATCGTCGTTGTCGTCGTCGTCGGAGACGTCGTCGGTGTCGTCGTAATCGGCGTCGTCGTCGTCGACGTCGCTGTCGTCGTCGTCGTCGTCGTCGGTGTCGTTGCCAAGTGCCATTTGGTACCTACCGTCACGGTCTTAAGAGGTTTGTCAAACCAAGTTGCGGGTGGGTGGGTGGGATGTTTGCAAGAGCATGGGATGTGTCAAATCATGGGTAAAATCAGTTGCACATCATACATTCTCCTTTATAAAAAAGAATGTACTCTACCCCCCCTTTCCCCCCCCCCGGAGTTAACGGTGCACCTTTTCTTATTGCAATGTACATGTGATTCTGCACACTCGTCCATCCTAAATATGAATTCATACTATCCCAGCCAGGCTGGTATCGCCCCCCCCCACCCCCGCCATCCTCTGTAAAAAAATTGTGCGCGCACATTCGTTTATCAAGAATCAGAAGTTTTCAAGAATCCGTTGCAAACAATATGACGTAGTGCACACGCGCGCGTCGTCGCGCACGCATGCCCAAATCCTTCAAAAACTTTCGGTTCCAGAAGGATTTCACAATCGAGTTCCCCCAAAAAAAACATACAAAAACACAGGGTTTCGCAACACTGATGTTCTAAAAAAGCTTACGCGCGCGCTCTTGCGAAATCTTAAGAAAACCATTGGTCTTTCCACATGTTCAAAAAAAAATACTGTCAAACGGGCTTCGCGCGCGCGCATGTCGAAATCTGTCGAACGCCCTTGCGCGCGTGCCGTCGCGAGAATCCTCTGCAAAAAAAGGGACGAAGTGCAGACGCGCGCGTCGCCGCGCGCGCATGCCGAAATCCTTCAAAAACTTTCTCGGTTTCGGAATGGTTTCAAAATCGTGTGTCCAAACAATATTTTTAACAAAAAACACCAGGTTTCGCAACACGGATTTTCAACAAAAGCGCGCGCGCGCTCTTGCGTCGTCGCCGTCCTCCCTCCTCCCTCGTCGTCGTCGCCGTCGTCGTCCTCTGTCTCTCCTCGTCATCGTCATCGTCATCCTATTTGGCGTCGTGGTCGTTTCCGTCGTCATTGTCGCCGTGGTCGTCCTTCCTCCTCCTCCTCCTCCCTCGTCGTCGTCGTCCGTCGTCCGCGTCTCGTCGTCGTCCCTCCTATTTCGTCGTCGCCGTCGTCGTCGTCGCCTTCCCTCCTCCCTCGTCGTTGTCGTCATCGGCGTCGCCGTCCTCCCTCCTTCTTCGTCGTTCGCGTCGTCGCCGTCCTCCCTCCTCCCTCGTCGTTGTCGTCGTTGTCGCCGTCGTCGTCCTCCCTCGTCGTCGTCGTCGTCGGCGTCGTTGTCGTCTTCGTCGGCGTCGTCGGCGTCGGCGTCGTCGTCGTCGTCGGCGTCGGCGTCGTCGTCGTCGTCGGTGTCGTCGTCGTCGAAGTCGTCGGAGACGTCGCCGGTGTCGTCGTAGTCGTCGGCGTCGTCGTCGACGTCGTCGTCGTCGGCGTCGGTGTCGCTGCCAAGTGCCATGTGGTACCTGTCGTCATTTTCCTAAGAGGTTTTGCAAACCAAGTTGCGGGTGGGGTGGTGGGATGTTTGCAAGAGCATTGGGTGTGTCAAATCATGGGTAAAAAAACAAATGCACACCATATATTGCACCAGCAAGTTAGCCGTTCTGAGGTTAGCAAGCATGGACCCCAAACAGTACGCGCATAGCAAAATAGGTCGTGCAGTCTACGTGGAGCAATATATGTGGTGCGATCTACGTAGTGCAATTCACCCTGTCGAATTTGAAGTTGTCAGCTCTACTGCTCGTGCAAACATCCCACCCACCCACCCGCAACTTGGTTTGCAAAACCCATGCGACGGCGATTGCGATGAGTTCTTGGTGTTGGATGGTGCATCCCTGCGGCCGCGCTAGCCCGCGCATGCTCGCGCGCGCAGCGACCAGCTAGTGCGGCGCGACCGACACGGTCGCGGTGACGCTGACAGGTGGGCACTTCATCGGGCCCTTCGGTGCGAGTCGGTGGCTTTTGCGGTCGCGGTATCATGGCGACGCCGACAACGGCAAGCACTATTATGAGAGTAGCGATGATGGTGACGATGGTGGTGATGACGACGGCAAGGCCAATGACGGCGCGATGCTGATCACGCCCGCTGATAACGATGACGATGTCCTCGCGTCGGCGACGAAGGTCTTGGAAAGTGTTCGACATGCGCGAGTGGCCCGCACGGTATCACTTGACACGGATCGTGCCCCCAGCACGCGCGCAAGGGCGTTCGGATGAGTTCGACATGCGGAGCGAGAGGCTTGTTTGGTAGAATGTTTTGAAAAAAAAAAAAAAAAAAAAAAAAAAAAAAAAAAAAAAAAAAAAAAAAAAAAAAAATGGTTTTCTCGAGGGTTCACGAAAGCGTGCGCGCAGGCTTCTTGTAAAAACTGCCGTTGCAAAACCATGCGTTTTTGATATGTTGTCGGGGCACGTATGTGTTTGAAAGCCTTGCGAGACCTAAAGTGCTTGAATGATTTCTTCCTGCGCGCGCGACGACGCGCGCGCGCACTTCGTCCCATTTGTCGCCAGAGATTCTTGCGATAGCATGCGCGCAAATGCGTTCGAGCGATTCCGACACGCGCGCGCGAGAGGCCCGCTTGGTAGCAAGTCATCAACAGGCTGAAAAAGCTTATGGTTTTCTCCAGAATTCACAAGAACCCGAGCGCAAGCTTTGTTTGAAAATTCTCGTGGTGAAACCATGTGCATGTACGCTTTCGTGACTCACGATTTTGAAAGCCTTGCGACGCCTAAGGTTTTTGAAGGACTTCGCCATGCGCGCGCGTGCATTTCGTCCCGTCTCTTGCGCGGGATTTTTTAAAATTGCTGAAATGTGATAAATATGTGCGCGCACAGATTCTTCTGCATAGGATGAGGGGGGCGACAAGGGCCTGCCTGGGATGGTACGAGTTCAATTTTGGATGAACGATGGTGCAGAAGCACATGCAAATTACAATGCGAAATCGTGCACCGTTAACCCCGGGGGGGCGGGGGGGACCCGAATATTGTCTTACACAGGAGAACTCATGCTGTGCGGTATAACGTGTGCAACAGATGTTTTGCATTCTAGTTGGCGCGATATTCGTAGTGCAATCTATGCGAAGCAAATCATGCGGTGCAACACACGTTGTGCAATACATGTTGTGTGAAAGATGCTGCGCAATCTATGTGGTGCCACATGTGTGGTGCAACTTGCGTTGCGCGAGTTACTTTGGCGAATTTGACGCTGTGAACCCCATTGTTCGCACGATCATCTCACCCACCCACCCGCAACCTGGTTTACGAAAACCTTCCGGCGGCAATTGCGATGATTACTTGACGCTGGCTGGCGAATCGCCGCGGCCGCGCTAGTGCGCACAGAGTGGCCAGCGAGTCCGGCGCGACCGACGCGGCCGCAGTGGCGCTGACCGCTGGGGACTTTCCCGCACGTCTCGCAGGTCGCGCTGACACGTGGGCACTTCAGTGCGAGTCGGTGGTCCGGGCTGGCGTGGT